AATCTTTCATGGAAAAGGGAATGAAAGAAGAGGTTGTTGAAGTCAGCCAGAAAGCCACTGGGTAGGGCTCTCTAAGAAAAGATTCTCTTTGGAGATTACAGAAGAAATGAAATGGGTTAATGTGCATACACAGTTGGATATTTTGCCCTTCGCTGACCACAGAGAAAGACCAATAGGAGTGAATTTTCCTAACTAATATGTCTATCTCCTTTCCCACCACTTTCTCCTCTGCCCACCCCAAAAAGCCTTTCTCTACATTTCTCCTTCTAGCCAGTCTTGGAGGATTAGGGATTCTACCTGCATCTGGATCCTCCTCCTCCATTCTGCTTCTGCCTTTATTCAGAAATCATGTCTCTTCTGTTATCACCTTTTTCTTCTGTATTTCTGATCTTTTCCATGGAAGTATTAATATGATTGTTTAAATGGTAGTAGGACACCCACCTAGACTAATTTCAGGTACAAAGCTTCCTTATAAGGATACACCGAACTGTAAATAGTCAGGAAAACAATCTGAATGGCCACATATTTGGTCTGTATCCCTGGGTTGCCACAATAGCTCAGCATCTTTTGGGTGCCATCTCTTTATTCACCTGATGTATATACTTCCATGAGAGGGATTTGATGGGTAGGTGGATTAACTAGTGGTTAAAAGCACCAGCTCTGGATTCAGACTACTGCTTGGGTTTAGACACTGCTTCTGCTATTGTCTAGGTTTCCCACCTTGGGTGAGTTATTTGAGCTGTCTTGTGCCTGGCTCCTCCTCCTCTGTACTTTGGAGGTAGTAAGAGCTCCTCTCCTCTAGAGCAGATGTAAGAATGAGATAATCTATGTACTGTACACAGAAGCTTCCAGTAGATGTTAACTGCCATTATTATCATTTATCACTATCATCATCATCATCACTCCTCTTTTGGCCGGGGCTGTTTATCGCTGCCTAACATGGAACACTCCTATTTGATGAGCTCACTCAGAGGTCACAGTGTCAAAGCCATAACACTAGAAATATCCCTGATAGAAAAATGTGAGTTCCTTGAGGGCTTTATTTTATTGAGCCTAGAATCCCCAGAACTCGCTACGGGGCCTAGAACATAGGATTTTGTCAGTGAAAGTTTGTCAAATAAATTTGAATGTATGGATTCAAAATCTTTCACTTTGGGCATGTAAATCTGTTTTGTAAATTCCTCATCCTTATGTACTCTACAGAAGAGAAATGTGTGATCAGAAAAGTGCTTTCTTAAACCATACATTTGTTCCATTTTACCCTGGGTGTATATTTGATCTTAAATATCAATAGCACTCTATTTGATTACTAATAAAATGACTTATATTTTAGGCCTTTAATTCTTTTAGTTAAAAATTTGCTTCAAATGTCCCTGAATGGATAGAGCTTTTTCTTCTACTATAATTAGCCAAGATTAAAAGGAAATTCTGATAAATTTTCTTAGGAGCCAATAATTTAAATTTATTCATACCTTCTAACTAATATTTCTTTTTAAAAATGTAGACAGTTGAATTTAGTGAACAAACATAATGGTGGGAGTATAAAAACTAGGCATTTTGTAGATTTTAACTTTTAGGGTTTTTTTGGCGGAGGAAATTCATATAAAAGTTGTTCCCTTTTTTTTTTTTGAGACAAAGTCTGGCTCTGTCGCCTGGGCTAAAGTGCCCTGGCATCAGCCTAGCTCACAGCAATCTCAGACTCCTGGGCTCAAGCAATCCTCCTGCCTCAGCCTCCCTGGTAGCTGGGACTACAGGCACTCACCACCACACCTGGCTAATTTTTTCTGTTTTTAGTAGAGACGAGGGTTTCACTCTTGCTCAGGCTCATCTCAAACTCCTGACCTCAAGGGATCCTCCCGCCTCGGCCTCCCACAGTGCTAGGATTACAGACATGAGCCACCGTGCTTGGGTAGTTGTGCCCATGTTAATGACATCCTGACTTACAACATGTCTTTCTCAATTTCCATTTTTATCTTTGACTAATGAATATTTATCAAAATTTTGGTGCTCAAACTTATAGG